AAGTTCATCCAATCAAGTCTCGTGTCATATTTTTTGTGAGGAATTAAATTAAAAGCCAAGCAGTTAGTACACGTGACCATGTCTCTCTATTAAAAGCCAAACTAAGGAGCCATTGGTGTTGAAATGTTGTTGTTACACCACCGTAATGCATGTGTACACCAAATAAATAATTTAATTTGCAAACAAAATAAAGATGGCACATTAGTTTAGCTGAAATAATGACAACATTCATCATTGAGGAAATTAACATGTCCATAGACAAGCAAACAACATTGGTCTATTTAAAATGCATGACAGAGAGATACATCAAATACAGCTTTATTTACTGCTCTGCTAATAATTCCAAGAACGAGGGAACATAAGGAAGATATAATGGTCTACAGTTGAACTCTTTTTTAACGCTACGTCTAACATACCGAAAGAGATGGGCAGGGATAACATGAACTCTTCTACGGTCCATGTCATAAGCAATGATTGTTCCATCCTCCCCAGCAAAGAAAATCATATTCCATTCTGAGTGAACTGTAATCACTGTGTACTTGACAACCCAATCCATGAAACCAAATCTAATATTAATCCTTCCAAACAGGATCCGCGTGCTAACCGTATGCTTTAATATCCAATTATTAGTACCATAGTCTTCAAGGATCCAGATTGAAAGCTTGGAATCATTGGGACTAGCAACAGTACATACACACAAGTGACCCTGAGCTTGATGCATGGAGTGTTGAAGACCACTAGGCCTATCAATTTGCCTCCATGTGTTTCCCTCCATATCCACAACAAGTATCATAGAGTATTCCCCAGAGTGCCCCATAATGTGCAGACAACCGTTAAAAAATATACTTGGTTGTCGATAAAATATCATATCAGTATCCTCGCTCCATTCGGATTCCTTATAGATCCATGCTATAGTTCAGATGACTAGATCTCCACACCTGCGCACAAACCATCGACATCCACATACTCAGTCACATGGAAGTGCGAGGAGGCTATCAGATCGAACGCCAAGTGAGCCTCACCAACAAAATGGCCAACATCATAGGTGCTAGGTGGCAATATATTAAACTTCTAAGTCATTGGATTGCAGACGACATAGTGGTATCCATTAGTCCCAAGGCACCAACATAGGATGAGGCCGTTGCAGCAATCTGAGACATCTATATTGTCAGGGTTGAAGGGCAAGAATTCAAAGGAGGGGGCGTACACCAGAGATGCTGGTGAAGTTTCGATTGCCGTTCTCACTATCATAGAAGAAGCCGGCCATAGTCTGGGGCAGCACTTGAAGGTTGTCGGAGATGATGTGCTTCTAAGAGCGACAAACACATTTGAAGGAGAACAAGGAGCGGGCGGAGAGGTGGTGGAGGATCTCTAGAACAAGATCCTTTTGTGAGGTTGGCCATTGTTAGGGGCCACCTCCATTTCAAAGAGCCTGCAATCGTCATTGTGCAGTAGGATGAGAGCTTCCTTAGTAAAGAGATCACTAAAGAGGAAAATAATCCGACAAAGATCTATCAGTGAAGTGCGAAAGCATACCCTTGCCTTTGGATCTGGCGGCAGCACGGCACGAGGCGTGCAATGGTTTGCACAAATTGCGAGAGGAACAATGCGTCAGCCGTGCGGGAGGTGGCGGTGGCGTGACGCGAGGCGTGCAATGGAGAGAGCAATAATGCGCCAACCTTGAAGATGGAGAAGTGGAATGGTGATGCAACTGTGTTGTGGGTAGTTGGGAAATGAGGAAATAACTCACGCTGAATTTACTACCGTCGGTAGACCAAACGGTCGTGTAGAGCCGGCGGCCAGAACGCCTATCCAGTCGGCTCGGCTTTTAATGCGATGGAGAAAATACCACTAACGCATCTATTGTTAACTCATGGGTGCTAGAAGTTTCAACTGCCGATTTCCTTCCTCAGGAGGCCTCGCTATGGGTACAACCGGCGGTGGAAGCATAACCCAGTCGCTTCTATCGCTACGGCAGTGAAAGTGGCGATAGTGATAAATCAATCTGTAGTAGTGCCACCCAATTAGAGGACTAATGAGATTTATCAAAATAACAAGCAGGCAAAACAGAAAGGAGGATAATACATATGTTTGTGGAGCCCCCAATTACAAAAGGACACGGTGATCGACTCAGAGGCGTTTAAATTATTTTATGTTTCGAATTTGAGTATAGAAAAAGCCATACTACAAAGGGGGATATAATGCACAATTTTTAACATGCAACCAAGTGCTCATATTTCCACCAAAAATATCCTCAAATTCTTAGCCATGATAGCAAGCCTTTCAACAACTCCTATCCTTGTCCCTGTCACGGCATTGTCACGCAAGGGCACGGTACTGCCGCAGCCCTGTCGTGGCACTGCCGCATAGGGGCATTGAACTGCTGCGGTCCTGTCTCGGCACTGATGTGACTTGTTGTGACCGTTGGAAGGGGAGGTATTTATACCTCTTCTTGTTCCTCACAACGATCATTTTTTGATCAGACCCCAATTAGTGCAACCTGAGCTCTCTCTCTCTCTCTCTCTCTCTCTCTTCCCCATTGAAGCTCCCATGCTTTCTTCCTCGATTTCCTTGCAAATCCTTGAGAGATTAAGCCTCTAGAAGTGATTAAAGAGCAACTCTAACTGATTCCCAACTCCTAGAGCACTTGGTTAGTGTTTGAGCTGGTGGATTGTGTTTGTTACTCTTGGAGCTTTGTTCCTAGTCGGCTAGTTGCCTCCCAGAAGCTTCCAACCCTTGTGTGGCAGCTCTGGGACGTTTGTAATCACCCAAGCATCTAGTAAGAACCACTCATCTCAAGAGATAGCTCTCTTGACTTGAGAACGAGGATAGGGTTTGCGAGACTAAGCCTTTGTGGCTTCCTCAACAACATGGACTTAGGTAAGCCTTAGTGGTGAGCTGAACCACGTGATAAATCATTGTGTCACTTGTGTTCTTCCTTTATTTTGTGCTATAATTGTCTATGTGATGATTCTAGTTTGGTCCTGATCTACTCTCTTGTGCTTCTCCGACTACTTCCAACTGGTGATCTAGGCTCTACTCTACCTCAGGAAGCTCAGTAATTTTCCCAACCTAAATTTCCTTGGGTAGATTTTGAATTGCGACTCGAGTTTGTCAGGTACTGCGGTAGTGCCGCGTCTTAGAGCGGCAATGTCGCGTGGGAATTTAACAATTGTTCGAGTTTGATTTAAGCAGTCCTATTCACCCCACTCTAGGCTTAGCAGGGATCGTTTCATCTTCAACATCAAGGTGCTTGGTTTTCCAATGGCGGTGATCCACAATACGATCATGTTTAATCATCTCCTGGAAGCCTCTACTCAAAACGAAGACTTTGGCTATGGCGGAGACTTTATTGAGAAGATTCAGCAGGGCCTTGCATAGACGTGAAGTGTGTCGGAGGATTGCTATCTTTTGTTCTGTGTTTACCCATTAGTTGGCTCGGGGGTTTAGTTGTTGGATCTGGTTGCGCTGTATGTTTAGATTGTTGTTGGTAGTTGAGGGGCATGAGCAAGTGTTTTTTGTGGTCGTTGAAGTTGTTTGTTTGTGATCTTCAGAGTTTTAGTTCTGCTAGATGTTGTGATCTTTTCCTTGTAAACTAGTATTCCCAGCTGCGGATTGAAGGTTCGTTGTAAGCTTTCTAATAAAGCCGGGCTAAGCCTTAGATTAAAAAAATAATGATAAGGATGGCATAAAAGTGATGAATACTGGACTTTTTGAGAGGCACACTTAGAATTTTAATCTTTTAGAATGGCCTGTAGGCGAAATATTCTATTAGCTGAAGTTCCAACTGAGTCTGCTTGGATGCAAAGTATTTTTGAAGTTTTGCACAAATACTAGAGTTTACAAAATACTTTGGTTGGTATTTGGATGCAACAAATCATGTAGTTTCTAAAACCATGGTTTTGTCAAGAAAAAATTGTATTCTTTTTGGAGTTGTAGAAACTCCACTCATCACTATTTTTTTCTAAACCACTATTTGTGTCTCTTTAGCTTATAAAACCACATTTTTTTGTGATACTAGAGTTTTCAAAAACTGCATCATCCAAACAGGCTCTGAGTTTTTTTTTTCATTTGCATGTCTTCTCAACCGCGCAAATGCTTGGACACTGGACAGAGAACACGGACCAGCGAACAAACATGATCTCCTCATGCATGCATACACCTGATAAAAATTTAAAAATACCACTTCAACGGAATAGCTAACACTTGCTGTAGATAGATCACACCAAACCATTTGCAAATACATATGTAGCATTAGCATGCTGCTAGAGTCAATAATCTCCACGCATACAACTGTCTCTAGTCTTTTTGCAGCTCAAATGCTCACACCATGAGGGTCATATTGTGACGATGGAAATGGTATAGACGCGCCAATCAAGGCACATGGGGAGTTGGGGACCCTCTCCTATTTCAAGCATACACACAAAGAGATAGACAACACCAACAAGAGAGACGACGCACACAAACAAAGACGGTATCAAGCACACCCGGTGCATGCAACTTGGTGGAACCAGCATCATCAACCACCAATTTATTCTTGAGAAAACAAACAGAAGACTTGGCAAAGCAACAGAAGGGAAGCACACCGTAGGAAGCAGCTTAGACATCGACGCCATGTATCCACCACCAAATCTAGGGAGATAATAACACAAGTGATTACAGGAAAAAATTATATATTGCGTATGATACATACTAGTAACAGTATAAAAATAAAAATAAAAACATTAGAGAAGAAACTAGTTATTCAAGTGTACCTGGATGTGTGGATTGATTGGAGCAGCCAGTACATCATCAGCTCAGCTCACCGAAGAACTGAGCTTCTGAGCAGGGTCTTTTCTTGTAGTAATTGGAGTGGCGTGGTTCAAAGAGGGAGGGGTGGTGGCCAGCCTCCTTCACATCCCACTCCAGGTTTTTCCACCAGTCCTTCTCGCAGTCCACAACAGGGCAGCTATGCAGGCGGTCAGAGGTGACCGGGAGGTGCTTGAGGTTCCAACATCCCCTCACAAGATGGTCTTGAGGTCAGGAACAAAGATCTTGGCCTCACATATCTGATGCAGCTTGGGGAGCTCATGGAGGTAGATGTCCTTCAGCTTTGCGAATTCTAGTACTCCTTTTCGACTGCGGTCAGTAGATAGCTTCTTTAGCAGCTCAGGTTCTGTGGGGAATACCTGATTGAGATTACCACAATAAACGATGTGGATAGTCTCCAGGCTGGACAAGGTAAACCATGACAATGGGAGCACAAATGTGAGTCTGGGACAGGAGTACAAATGTATCGTCTTGAGTTTTGCAAAGGAGTTATGGTCCGTCATATTGACCGATCTTCCTTTGCTCCAAATAAAACGGGCCATCAAGAGATCCTGCCCCCAAAAGGTCTCCAGTTGATGAAAGCAGCTTATATCATTGTTGATGGCAAAGCTAGTGTCCAGTACGGGGCATCTCTCAACACGGCGCCACTTGTTGGTTTAGGCCAACAAAGCAAAGGAGTAAGATGGGAGAGAGCCGATCAGCCAATGGAGCAATTGGACCAAAGGTGCCTCTCCACCTCTCCCTCTCCCCATTTTATAGGTGAGGTGGGAGAGGAGATTCTCTTTATGCTTCCTGGTGGGATTTGTATTTACAGAAATGTCATTGGGGCTCATATGGATACCTAGTGGGGTTTGTATAAATGCTACTAAAAGCAACAAATAGCCCCATGTTGTTTTGTGAGCCATAGGATATGTAATTGAGCCCTGAACATGATAGTGGGGGTTCCCAACATATGATGTATCCCCAACAGTAGCCCCTCAGCTATTTGGTTTTTATGGAAAGTACAAGACCTAATAGCCGAATACAACAAAGTTGGCCCAATTACAACTTAGACTCAGCATACAACTTTCGTCTTTTCATATCTCTGGTTAGCCTTCAGTATGTCTTCAGCTAGTCTTCCGTGGCCGCCTTCACTCTAACCTCAAAGATCCTATCCTTAGCAGCTTGCTCCTTTGGCCTTGAGCCCTTGGTACCCTGTTTTCATGATTTAGCTTTTGCCGAAGACATTGATGTAGCTGAAGCAGGTGAAGCAATCGACGCGGGTGAAGTAATTTGTAGATGATCATGACATGTCTTCAAGCTTTTACTCACAGGCACTAGGCAAACCTTTTGTCTTCGGGTGGATCACTTGTCCAATGCACTCCTCGCCAACCCCTCTTGGCTGGTGCCTGTGCAAAATTCTCTCAAAAATGTTGGTGGCAAAAGCGGTGCTTTTGGATTATTCTGGCGGCAATAGCCATACCCTTTCAGGCGAGAGGCGAAAAGGTTGCGAAATGAGCCCCTCAGCACTGACTTTTAGATTGGTTCAGCGCTAACGCTCGCACCTTTTTAGGCGAGTGGCGAAGGGTCGCGAAATGAGCCCCTCAGCGCTAGATTTTAGATTAGTTTGGCGTCAACCCCTCACACCCTTTCGGGCGAGGGGCGAAGGGTCGCGAAATAAGCCCCTCAATGTTAGCTTCTAGATTAGTTTGGTGCCAACCCCACACACCTCTTCGGGTGAGGGGCGAAAAGTTGTCAAAGGAGCCCCTCGGCGCTAGCTTTTAGATTAGTTTGGCACCAACCTCCTCGCTTTTAGACTATTTCGCCGCCAACCGCCATGCCTTTTAAGGCGACGGGGTGAAGAGAGGCAAAAGGAGCTCCTCGGCGCTTCTTAGTTATTTCGGTGCCAAGTCATCGTCAATGTCGCCTATGACGAAGCTCCTCGCCAGGATGTTGGTGAAAACTTGTTTGATGACACGCGGTGTTGACTGCGACACAAAGTTTGCGAAACATTAATTTGCATTTTGCTGTTGTTGCATGTATTCTCGGCAACGCGAAGTCACTGAGCTCTTCCTATGTATATCGCCGTGTACATAGAGGTCAAAATGGATGCGGGCGTTGCTGCGACTGCAGACTAATTTTGATCTCGCCAACATGTTTTTACTGATACTGGGTCCTGATGCTGCTAAGGACCTCCTTTCAGCGTTTTAAAATTTGCTTGGGCACGTGGGTACAAGGGGAGTGGATGCCATAAATGAATTGATATAATTATGTGAAAGAAGTGCAGAATGATATGTGATGAGTGAATCCTGAAAGAAAAAAAAAACATACATGGGATGAATTGTTGGCTTTCGTGTTATTTGCGAATAATAGGCTATCCTTTGAACTCTGGAGCATACAAACTGCAAAATGCTTAAGATAATAATTTCAATTATGCAAAAACACAAAATAAAAACATTTTGATTTTGTGAGATGTAATTGACTGTATGTTCATAATGCGAAAGTAAAGGTGTTGGTCGATACTCGTGCTCTAACGGGATCTGGTGTTTTAATGCTGATATAACGCTTTGGTGTCTTATCCTTTTCTTTTCTTCTCCCTTTTTTTTCTTTTTCTTTTATTAGGGCGAGAGGCGGTCAGGAGAAACCCTCGGGTTTTTTTTGATAGCACGCCACTCGATGCTCTTACATTGGTTTGGCGTCAACCCCTTACACCTTTCGAGGTGAGGGGCGAGGGGTCGGGAGATGAGCCTGATGGCGCTAGTTTTTAGATCAGTTTGGCGCCAACTCACACCTTTTTGGGCAAGGAGCAAAAAAGTTGCAAAAATGAGCCCCTCGCCAATATCTTTTAGATTAGTTTTGCACCGACCCCTCATGTCTTTTCGGGTAAGGGGCGAAGGGTTTCGAATTCTATCAAATCATTCAGCTTTAGTTTTTTTTGAGCTTTTATAAAATCATTGTGTACATAACGATCGAAAATGATACATGCGGTGATCTACGACTGCTGACGTTTTGATCTCATAAAAAATGTTTATGCCGATATTGGAGAGCCTTATGCCGCTAAGGAGCCCTTTTCGGCTTATGCAAAAGTGCTCATTCGTTGAATGGATGCTATGGATGAATATCATAGTGCTGATGATGCATTGACACGTATAAAAAGAATGGGAAGCCTTTTCCTTTAACTTTGTCCCGTGTATCTTTAGAGGGACTTAGCCTTAACCTCTAGGCTTTTCGTTTAGCTTTGTCCTCACGTATTTTTGGAGGGTTGAAGTCTCTCCTTAGGCTTTTCGTTTCGCTTTGCCCTCGCGTATTTTCGGAGGGTCGAAGTCTTGAGTCTTTATGCTTTGGAATTGTACAAGTACACCTTGCGAGAGCAAGGAATAGGTAATTGTGCGACTTCTGTAAAAAGGAGCGATCTACAAATAAAATTAACAAATAAACAAGTTTCATCTAATTCTTAGTAGCATAATTTTCTTCCGGAGTTGCTCATTTCGCTAGGAAAAAACCACTTCCAAGAGAAAAAATATCCTGAAGATGACCCCAGCTGATGACTTCGGGTGCGGGAGGGTGCAGAGATTTCGTGCAGAACATAAAGACCTGAAAGTTCTAGATAGAGCAAACTTTATTTTATTATATACATGCACACGTATATATTTGCGAATGCAATCTGAAATTGAAAAACTCCTTTGCCGAAGTAACCGAAAGGTAGTTTATTTTCCAGAAGCGCCGAAATGATCCGAGCCTGGGCTGCGAAATAACCAAAGATCCCTGTCCCATTGGCTAAAAATTCCAGGTTGGGCACCCAACGAACTTTATTTTATTTTTGTATTTGTTTTTGGCGAATATATTAAAGTAAATAGCAAAAGACTTGTATATCTTGATCTGCGAACGGTGCAGTGATGGTTCGTTTCGCTTTCGAGGCGACCGCGTGTCTTCTCCTGTGAATCGTTCTTCGTGGCTTGCATCAACAAGAATTGTGATATCGGCATGCTCGGTAACTAGCTGCGAAAGCCGAAAGTGTTTGCACCTTATAACGCCAAAAGTAACAGTTTCATGAATATTAGAGCAATGGTTAAAAGGGGCACTTATCGCTCTTTCGCTTGAAAATAAACGGTGAGCATGCAGCTAGAGCTGGACCAGACTTTTCGATATGTATCTGGTTCGCGTATTTTCGGCATGTCAGAGTCGATATGCTGCGCCCTCCACATTTTCAGAGAGTCTAAGTTTTTAGCCATTAGGTTTTTCGATTAGCTTCGCCCTCACGTATTTTCGGAGAGTCAAAATCCTTAGCCCTTAAGCTTTTTGATATGCTTCGCCCTCGCGTATTTCCAGAGGGTCAAAGTCCTTAGCCCTTAGGCTTTACAATATACTTCGCCCTCGCATATTTCGGAGGGTCGAAGTCCTTAGGGCTGCAAATTGTAGGTCAGCTGGGAGGCATATAAATATGCTGAAGATGATATGATAAGCTGTGGGAGGAAATGAAAACCTAAAGCATGATCATGATTTCGGGTTGCCTGCATAGAACTTCTAGACAACAAGTATGTATGCATATTATAAGGTAAACGACCAGAAAAATTTAAGCCCCTGCTAGTACATAGGAATTAAGAAATTAAGCGCTCCCAAGTGTGTGCGAATTGAGAAATTATGCTAATCGGTATTCTTGTTTTGAATATAACCGAAAGCAGCCAGTGGCCTTGCTGAAGCACCGCGGGTGAACTATGTGAGCTCAATACCTTTTGACTTTGGGAAAGCGAATACTTGGATGCCTGTCCGGAACCAGTTTTAGAGACACTTCGCTTGATATAGATGTATGGACGACAGGTGCGAAGGCTTCCAAAATGACGGAGGTAGGCGAAGAGACGTAGCCATTGTTGCTTCTTTTATAATCCTGCAGCGTTAGATGAAGGTTATGCAAAATGAGCAATTAAAACTGTGATATGCCTATATTGTGTGATATAAAAGCAGGTTTGCGCAAACAAAAATTTGAGGAGGTGAAGAAAAATTGCTCAGGTTGGTGACAGGCTGCCGGATGCACTGGTTCTGCAGATGATACTGGTTAGTGGGATTTTGAATGAAAGCAAGAACTGATAAGCGAAAGCATTCCAATATATATTGCCGGAATGTACTGAGAGGAAGATGAAAATTAGCGAAGGGGATGGTTACTTCAATCCACAAGTGCAAGGTGAGTAATTTAATATATGGATGATGAAAATAATGGAGTAATTATACTTAAATGTTGCAATGCTCTCGCGGATCCAAAGGTTAAACCAGGTTCACTGCTTGGGCTTCTCAAACCCAAGCGAAGGAGGAGTAGTTAATCTGTTGGAGCAAAACTGGCCGGTTTATATGAAATATGTGTGTACTGAAAGTGTGCACCGGGCACGAGCTTTCTTAAGGATGTTACCTGAAACATATGTTTGGTTAATCCTGTAATTTAATGGAGAAAGAAGCAACACCCCTTCGGGTCTGATCAAATTCTAAGGTGTGAGCAAAAAAAACTTCCGGCTTAAGTAAGAGCAAGGTGTGG